ATAAACACGTGAAGATTATAAACTTTTCAGATTGTAAGAATCAACCTAAAATATGAAAGTGAAAGAACACTGTATTTAAAACAGTTGTGTTTATCAGGATGAATAAATGTTTCCAAAGTTTCCAAATGTTTCTTCCAAGAAAACGTCTTTGATCATCACCAACCTGGAAATATTATACGTATAAAGAGTTTAACATTGATTTTTTGGAAACTGCCGAGATATTTTCTGTCTTTTTTCACTAAAATATTCGTAACACAATTACTGACTTTCTGGGATTTGTTTTGATTTATTGTATTCGTTTCTGATTACTGGATAAAATAACTTTATTATGACTCTTTTGGAACATATTTGCTTCCTTTGGGGGAAATTTCATTGCCGAATCGATAATAATATAGGCTGATGTTTAAAAAACGATACTTCGTATTATTCAATCCTACAAACCTTGGTTTGGTATTCAATTCTAACATAATATTTACTGTTCGGGTTTGATAATTTATACTTATTCCAACAGTGTAAACAAGCAATTGTACAAATGCATGCCGTGTATTTAAAATAGATCTAGTTGTGCCTCATGAAATCAACCCCCCTTATATTCTTCTAAGTTTCACAGAAGTGAAGTACTCATTGTTCTTAAGAAACACACACGAAAATTTCCTGGATCCAATTAATTTGAAACCAATGAGAACCAATTCTTTGGTCTAGAACTCCACCTGTAGCCCCGACGGTGGCAGCGCTACATGCGAAGAAGACAATAACTAACTCATTGATCCTTAAAATTTTTTTCACAAAATGATATATTAGTATATTAAAAATTCTTCTGAAAGCCCCATTTAAATAAATTAAAGAACAAGAGATTTTGAAAAATTACTCCAATTAACGTGCTATAGTCAATTTATTTAAAATGTACGCTTTTATTATTCTTTATTGTGCAACTGCGAATTTCTTGTGCTGCGCGCGATAAGGAGCAACGGTTTCCGGCGCCAGTAAGCGCAGTGTTGCCAGACTACCAGGATCCTGGTATTTGTACCAGGAGTTTATTGAAGATACCATGTACCACGATGAAGACTTCCTGGTACGTTCAAATACCAGGATTTTGAATCAACGGTAATTGATGTACAATTTAAGATTCGTTTAATGTTTTTATTCAATATTTTAATTCAAACACCAATATTACAAATAACTATTATATTGATAAAAACACTACACAACATGAGGGTGACATAGGATTCTCTTTTTCTAGCACATGCTATAGTAGAAAAGGATATAACGTTCCACTTCCATTTAGTAGTTTACCGATATAAAATGAGTCGATATCAAGTTACGTTTATAGAAGTTCTTGTGCGCGATAAAAAAGTTATAAGAACAATTTTAGAATATAAACCAATTGACATTTGACCCAGCAATTTTAGGGAAAGTACCAGGATTGTGGAAAGCAGGTACCGGGATATCTATTTAATCGTCTGGCAACATTGAATAAGCGCCTCGTCCACTCGGCCAGCAAACTCCGAGAGGGTCGGATGTGCCGCCACGCATCTTGATGGTAACACATTGCGTTCAGTTAATTTGATTGCAATGTAAAGTAGATGAATCACAATCATGTGAATTGTAATTCACGCTGCAATTGTGTGATTTTGCAGCCTTTGCTCATATGAGCATAAGTTTTTAATACTAATTCTACTTCTTATTTCATGTTGGTAAGTTATCGTTTCTTTTGTTAGTTGGAGTAAAATTGACATCTATCGATATATATATTGCTGGTTCTCGCAAACTAAGGTAGTTTAATGTATCTTGCGAAGTAATATATTTCTGAGAAACAGGTGGACATTATCAATTAATTGTATTTGTACGTATTATACGCATTATGTAGCAACTTCATTACATTCGCTGGGCTGATTAACTTTTAATTATATGTTGCCAAATTCTGCGTTTTCTTAACATTAAATTTATTTTACATTTCATACGACAATATTGATACATTCTCTAGGCGCATTGATTTTATTCATGTTGTCAATTGTAATATTTTTAATATAATTTATTGTGCTTTCTTATAGCAACGTTCTTGCATTCGCAATAAGTATACCGTTGCGACAGAGATACTGTTCCAAGACTAATAAAATCTAAGTACGCTTGTCATTTAAGATTCTACAATATTATTCTAATTATTTAAAACTTTGTCATTGTCTATTACTTTCACTGTGGGACCTTGCCAATGTATTTCCGACGAGTTATTCGAAGAATGCGCATGCAGAGTGTCTACAGAACAATTTAGCTTCTTTATTTTAACTGTTCATCAGTTTACCTTTCTTTCCTTACCGCTCTTTCTCATTGTTGTCGTCCTGGCTTTAATATTTGATCTTCTCATTTGTCTCTCATATTTTTATTAAGCATGTAATTCGACAAGAAAAAGAAATAAAAACAAAAGAGCGCCGATTTTCTTTCCTCAATCAGTTTCCCGCTACATCCGTGTTTCACTCTTTAATACCCCCTGTACTACTCGACATCTCATTCATCTCTCACCTTACCGGACTACTATCTTTCAACTGTTAAATGAACCCGTGAAGGATTTATGTTTGGTTGAAAATTTTACGAGGCCATAGAACTTACAATCTGGCAGCGGCACTCGAGCAAGACCATTGAGCACGCACCTCGTCTTTTCAGCCTCGTAGCCATAAAACACAGAGCACAGGTTACTGCGGGTTGCAAGTTCTGGGCAAACACAGGACCCCTCGTTCATCGCGAGCAAAATCCTTTTTGTGCGTTTTTATTTATTACTGGCTTATCAGACAAAGTTTCTTCGCGACTCGTCATTATTTTTTATTAATATACATTACACAAATTGGTAAAATATACAATGGAGTGTTTTGTCTGCATTAGTGTGTTGTTCATTAGATCATATTTAACATACGTCGTAACTTACATTGTAGTATTTGTATGACGTATATCAATTTACATTTTATTAAAAATTTAGGTAAGTACAAAATTTTAACATCAGTTGATAAATCTTCCTTGTATATAAGATAGCTTGGTATTCTTCCGAGCAAGTTTTCTTGATCTCTCATTTTACCTCATGCAAAAGTGATTATTTCAACAACAGTAATACTATTACATCAAATATGAAGCTCGTTTTCCAATGCAAATTGTTTCTATTCCATTGGAGAGAAAATGTTTTGATATCAAATATTGTTAACATACTCATTGCTATTTTCCATTCCTAATTCAGATAGATGTTGGTAAATCAAAATGCTGTTTGTTTATGATCCGGTTTCAAGAAGCCTGAACAATAGATTTTTGGAAAGGGCTCCAAATAGAGTAGAAACGTCAAAATCAATTATGTAACATTCCTGTTTTTTCCAACTGATTTAATCAATATAACTTATTTTTTTCTCTGCTCTCTATTCTCACAAAATCTCTCAAAGTTAAAATATTATTATATTAATTTCACTTTTCAATTGAATCAGGGGTATCGACATACATTTCTTGTCTAACCTGCTGCATGTTTATGTGTAATTCCATACATAATCATGATTCCTGGAGGTTTTGCAGAACAAACTAATTATTAAATTGATGGCTAGTACTGTATATTATCAGCCTTTCCTCTTTACAAAAATCAAATTTAGCATTTAGTTTAACAATTTTACGTAAAGTTTTAGATCTCCTGAATTAACTGGGCAATTTCTTCGTATATACAGCATAAATGTACCGTACGCTTTTTAAATAAAGTTCGTACGTTTTCCGTTGACTTCACAGCTGTACTTCTCGGGTGAAGTCGACCAAGAGATTTCCTCGTTGCTTCTGTTATAGGTTTCTGCCTATCGTCCAAATAAGTTATCAAATGTTCCCAGAATGTCCTCTACCATTTTATACTTTATATAATTCAATAATTTCTATCAAAATTACTGACTACCTCTGCTAAAAGTACTGACCCTCACTGGACGTTACGTGAAACCCCTATGCGCGACTATCTACAGTAGAAATAAATAAAATATTCTCCCCGTCAACGGAGCTATCCTGACACAGATCCTTTTGGAAAAACGGATTCTATTTTATTTAAGTGTTAAATTACATAAACGTAAATTACAATCGTTATTTAATATTACTCACAGCTTTGAAATATTATCCTGCACAATGTTAATGTATCAACACTAATCATAATTTACCAGCTTCAATACTATTTACAAATAACCCGAGACTATACTGAAAACTAACATTCACATTGCATCAATTGCTTACATTTGTTTAGATATTAAGATACTTATTTCCACCTTCCCACAGAATCAAAGCTTTCAAATCCCATTTACCGTTTATCGTATCTCATACATTCCAGGCCGGATTCAGCGATGACACACCCAAACATGGAATACTATACGTTGCTTATTTGTTGACCTAATAAGTGTATTCTTCGATTCCCAAGCCTGCATACAATCAAATTACACCCATTTGTTGCCGTTTTTTATTAAAATTAAATTTGATTTGAGTTGATTTGTCACTTTCCACAAAAATTGTAATAAAAAGTACTGAGTCTGTTTCATTAAGGTCTTAAAAATAATTGCAATCATTTTTTAAACTTTAGTTCAGCTAATTTTTAGAGAAAATAATGAAACATTATTGACATAAATGTTCTTGATTTATTGTTATTACACTACACCATTGCAAAAAATTTTAAACGTGGCTAAACAGTTTTTAATCTTTTTACTACGTAAGCCTAAACCATGCATTTTATTACATCGGTAAAGTTATAGGATTTACTTCATGAGTTTTGGATTTCCAATGTAGTACACTAGCTTTGTGTTGTGAATACTTATCTAGTTCTCTATATTTATTTCCACTCATCACTCATGTTTATTACAATTTCACACATAAAATTGGTAATATCAACAAGTTGTATATAAAATTAATACTTAATATTGTTTATGTACGACGATTATATAATGTTTGCTTAGTTCACTCCTACAAGTATTACAAAGTGTGACATACCAGAAATCCCCTCAAAGCATTTAATAATGGCAAACTGCTTTGAACGTATGTTTACTTTAGAATTGGATGAAAACAATTAGTGTAGACAAAAGAATATACTTCTTCAGGACAACGTGTCAACAAACTTTACGTTCCGTTATCGAGGGTCTGAACGCGATATTCTTGTACGCAGCATGGCCCCGGGATAATGTGACGTCTGAACCGTTACAATAACTATGAACGACCGTTATATGGACTTTCTATATGTGTGGCGCAGCCAGTATTTTTCTATGGGGAGCTCTAAGTTGTGTCCCGTTTTTTATAACGAGATTTTAATTTATGTTGAATTTAAAATTCATTTTTCTTGATATGTTTATAGTTATTTTATAACGTATTCAATTGCGATATTTAATGACTTCCGTTACTATACGAAATTACTAAAAGCTATATTTGTGAATATTCTTCGGTTTCTCGGGCCTCAGAAGCCCCCCTTCTCCTTAGATGGACATAGCGCATTATAAAGAGAACCAAAATTTTAGATTTCGGATGACAATTTCTGCTAAACGCATCCCTCCCAGATACGTGTTCATTAGGGTAAAATTGCATGACTACGAGCACCATATAACTACAAATATTGATCTAATTATTAAAACGTATATATCAATATGTGGTTTCGTTTATAAACATTGCTTTCGTGGGAAACTACTGAAGTTTTGAAGTAATTTAATCGATCTAACAACCTTTTTTTATCTTCAAAGACTGCATAAATATACAGAATATAATGTAATGTATGGATAATCCCCATTAGCTCAAATAACGTACAATCTCTTCGTGTATTTCATATTTTGTTTTATTTTAGCTAATACCCACGTTGACTGAATTTGCCGTTTTTCTAGGAGTCTTTCAAAATTAAGAGAAGCCAAATTAAGAGTAATCAAAAGCTGATAGGTAATACAATGGTTAGGCGCAAATGAGACTCTTAAATCTAACACTCATATGCAGGAAGTTAGCTGTAACATTTAAGTTAAATTTTCTGGCAATGAATTTTCGGAGCCTACGTTTCAAAGTATTTCAACGAAAATTATAAATTAATTACTTAACTCATTTCTATATAAGTAAGAAAGTGGCCACATTCACTTATTCTAACGCATTTGCGACTTAACACGCGAGCTAATCCAAAGGCTATGTGCAGACAATGGTAGAAATTATCAATACATGTTCTACTCCATAAACAAGCTAGACATGAATGTAACGAACACCATACTGATGCAACTACCAACATGCTTTCCTTTCACTAAGAGAAGACTAGAGATAATTAGAAACAGTTTTAAAACGCATGCGGTCCGAAATCTCTGGCATCCACCTCGGCACTTAACTGCGTGCAGCTAATGACTCATTAAACTCCCAGCGCATATAGGGATTTCCTGAGAGTCCAACGCTGGTGTTTCAGCCAGTCTCTACACGGCCGTGCTCAACTGATTTCGCTAGGGACCATACTTTCAACGCGAGCAGATAAAGTGGACGATAAAACGCAATTATCAATTCCGACTGGACAATCTAAAACCTCGCCGTTCCTGCAATTCCATTTCAATAGACTCATCTTTATTCTCAACGTTGAATGAAGATGAATATGGCATCTGGAGACCCGACGTAAAATGAAGAGAACAAGTAGTAATATTTCGGCGCAAACACGGTGCTCAGCGCTCGTAATGTGCCTGAATTACTACCGGCTGTAGATTCACACTACGCGACGCTGATAGTCCCCTCGGGATTTAATACATCGTTCCTCTCCCGCCAGTGCTTCCGCGGCGGGGAGGGAGGCTTAGCGTGTGAGGCTGAGCAGCGGAGAGAGGATTCGGCTCGTGCTCGCCCGTATCTGGAGGAGGGGAGGAGTAAAAGCCGGGACAGCCACTTCGTTCCCGTCCTGCGACGCCCTTATCGCCTTCCTTCTTTACTGCCCTCCGTTCTTCCTCGCCCCTCGCTCTCCTTCCGTCCGCAAGGAGGCTCCCATCTGGGCAGTCAGTGCGTGGGTGTGTCTCTCGGTCTCTCTGTCTCTCTCTCTCTCTCTCTCTCTCTCTCTCTCTTAGAAAAACAAATAGGTATTGTTGAACACACGCTAACCGCCAACACCCGACGGAAACAATTGAAATCAGATGGGAATATTAAATAAGTAAATTAAACGGATTATTTCTTCAAAGCTTTTGCCTTTTTATGAATTCATGAACCATCTCACATTCACCAACCCTCGGGAAAAGAGTAAATAGTAAATATTTATTAAAGTTACTTATGGCAACAACTTAATCCTAGATACGAAATAAATATTGTTAATCTTGACAAATAAAAATATAAAAAGGAACTTAACAAACTGCTCTCATAAAATGAAGATAATGAAACAAATTGTATTTATCCTATAACCTCTAAATTAATATTGTAATGTTAAATAGTTGTAGAAACGTGCTGATTAGTACGCTCTGAAGTAAAGTATAAAAATTAAAGGAATTCTCTTAATACATGCATTAAGTACTTAAATACAAATATAGTTATTCAAATGACTAACGAAAAATGGAAAATGGTTCATATTAAGTTGTATATGCAAAATAGAAAAAATTAATTACGTCGCGACGACGTGAAAGACCGGCAAGTCGGGAGCCTATTTAATAATGCCTTCAACCAGCCGAAGGGATCTTATCATACCCATTCCTTTCCTCTCTGACTGGTAACAGAAGAAATTACTTTCTTTCTTTTCCATGGATCCGGTAGCTTAATAAGTAACTCCCCTATATACTCTTGCCCTTGTAGCTCAATAACTTACATTTTATAGTTTCCATTTGCCCTCGTGGCTAAAAAATGTTACGTTTCCTTTTCTTTTAAACCTTCTTTGAAATACTTTCAGCTGAAAGATAAAAACAACGAGAATGTTTAAAGCGCCGCCCCACATAGTCTCACAGATTAGCGCTATTTCAAATCTTTGTGGAAATCCCATTGGTTTCGTGTCAGTGTCCTTTGGGTGCCCTTGTATACGGAGATCGGTTTTTCAAACACATGTTTTGTATGCATGCGATTTGTTTATAAATTCTGAACGGAATAGCTTTTAGTCAGTGATTTTAAAACAACACCAAAAGGGAAGCACTAATATGTAAATAATGTATGTGGTTTGTAATTAGATATACAAGGGCCATTTCGTAATCGTTACATGGAGTTGTCATATGTAGTCTTAATAGTCATCGTGTATTAAGTCTTAAATACCACCTTACATGTATGAAAATAAGACGTAAAATGAAAATAAAAGGTACGATAGAAAAAGCCTTGACTCAAAAATGGAAATGGAGAGGTCACGTCATAAGACAACGGGATAAATGGGTGGGCATATGCTATAACCGTATGGGAACCAAGAATTGAATGGCGTAATCTAGGAAGACAGCGAAAAAGATGGGAGGACAACTTTAAGGAGTCAGCTGGCAGAAATTGTACGAGACTGGCTGCACACAGAACGTCATGGATGTCCCTTCAAACAACCTGAATCGTGAAAACGAAGAAAATTGAAACCAGTGAAGTGTTTAGAAACAATATCAATATTAAAAGACACATTGTATTAACAGCCAAATTACATGACAATTGTTTAGTTAGTAGTAATCAATACGAGCTTAATATGTGAAGTTTATGCATTTTCATAGTTGTATTCAACCATACTGCAAGGACACAAACCCGTGCAGAACTTCCCTGGGAAGCCAGGAGGCCCTGGCTTTTAAGGGATTGCAACGGGCTCCTAATAATATTAATAATAATAATAATAATAATAATAATAATAATAATAATAATAATAATAATAATAATAAAATTCTTAACGATACAATTTCGTAAACTTTTCCCTCATAAGTATACACTCCACATTTATATCTTTCAACCTTTAAGTGCATTTTAAGTAAGCTTATTGAAAAGAACATTTTTCAAGCCGAAATACTGAAACTTTAAGAGAAGTGTGGTATAGTTGAAAGGAATTTGTAAGGAGTACAGGCGTCAGTGACTCAAATTGCGTTACATATCACCCATATTTAGCATAAGATATTAAAATCCTGAAGTGCATGGCCTGCGACTTGGTCCATCCGTTCCGATGGCATAATCGGTAGCCTACGAATAATTATCGCGGGTTCACAGATTCAACTCAGTTCCTCCTTATGCCATTGTAGTTGTAAATATCCATTGCAAACAATTACATGTTGCAGTTACTCAAGGCTGTTTTAGGCAGAATGCGGAGGCCAAATGGTCGATTCTCGTAGAAAATTTTGGCTTGAACAAAGCGACACCAGTTGACCATAAAATTATGCTGTCTAATGAATTTAATTGATACAGAGCAAACATACTTTAATTAAACCCTTGAATAACTTTTTAAAGATAGAATCGCCAAACACTCAAGTAATTATTTGTTCTTTGAGTTGGGCAATGCGCAAACGTTTTGTACGGGATCAACTATTTTGATTATCTTTTTGTTTAGAATGGTTTGCAGATTTTATAAATACTGCAATTACAACGAAACAAATTTCTATCACCATTTAACTACTAGAAATTAAATTTATGTTCACAAAGTTGAAAAGAAAATTAACCACAATATTAAAAAAGAAGAACGTTAAAATTAAATTGAAATTAAATAGTTAAATGTTATTTTTCAACGTCTGATAATTTACTCTTACTATTCATTTCCTGTTTAATAATCCTTGATCTCCTCAATATTAGACTACAGTAAAGGAAAAAGGATCTCCCAGTTTTTTAGCAGTTGTCTACAAAAACAAAACACAAAACCGTAGTGAATTAATATGAAAAATCCTCGTCATTTCTGACACGATGTTGAAGGACTCTTTGAGTTCAGTTCTCCTTTAGGCAGGGCGCGTTAGCGCCGAGGTTATTGAATTCACAGGGAATGAGGGGCTCGGAAATTGGGTTACGCCCTCCTTCCGACTTCGAATTTCGCTGACCGAGCCCGATTAGTAGCAAAGCATTTTTTCAAGAAGAGAACTTAGCTGTTCGTCGTATTCAACGAGTGCCTTTTTAGCGGGAGGGTACTGATCCCG